TCCTAAAGAACTTGGAGAATTTCAAAAGCCCATTACGACTTAAGAAGCCAGTAAGACTTGATCTCCTGAAACCCAGGGGTGCTTTTGAAAATCTTCCCTTGATAATCCTAAAGATAATGTATAATTTACCCCTTCACATATTTCATTTAAACTTGGGAAAAGTCTGTTATCACCAGAACTGCTGAATAAATCAAATTTTCCTCTACATTTTTTGGGGTCATCCTCATTTTTAAGACAGCAAAAATGTGCCAGATCTCTCTTTCCATTTGATTCATTTAACTCCAAATAGCTATTTGTTAATTGCTCACATAATATGGAGATGTGGTCGCCAGATGTATTTTAAAAGGAGACACACAAATTGGAGCAAATGGTCAGTTTGAAGTAGTTAATACAAAGAAAAGACACTTGGCAAACTGAATCAAGCTTGTTTTGCTTTCTCCCTTTTTAGAAGTGACCTAAATTTTAAAAAGTTGTGAGTTATTTTCAGTGACTTGCTCATAAGTTTGACACAGCATAGCTCTGTAACTGAGATTTTCAGGGCGGAAGAATTGCAGGATTCCAGGAATTACAGGAAATAACCTCTGTTTCACCTGGCATTAGCCATCCCTAGGGTAAAAGATTGCCTATTTAAAAAAAAAAATTGAAAGCTGCCAAGAGCTGGAGCCAAACTGACAGCCAGGAATAGATCAGGGATCAGATAAGAGATTATTGTATTTGCACTGTTCACGGTGGCACCACAAAAAATGTGTGAATACAAGTATTAGGCTCCATCTTGCATTCTTTGAATGTAGCAGAATCAGTTCCTTAGTCTTTCCTGAGCAGTGTGAAGGTTTGAATAGATAAATTAGTTTTGTATTAAAATTTAAGCTGTCTCACTGCATTGTCTGTATGACTGCTTTTACCTTTTATCTTGTGCTTTGCTTTATGATTTTTTGTTCTCTTTTGCTTGAAATGCCTATAACAAGGATTTTTAAATAGTTTGTTGAGTGTTCAACATCAGATTGCTGTATAATATATTTTGGAACTTAATGAGATAATGAAACTGGAGGAAGCAAAGATTTGTTTGAGTCAATATAGAGTAAGAGCAGTACAGGACAGTTAGTTTTCAGCGGTGAATGGAGCAAGAACTCCGTCCCACCTTGATGTGTTGTACTTCTACTGATTAACTTTTCCTTCCCCTCATAGAAGTTTGACCTGGATGGTACTTTCTAATCCAGTCACTCTTCTGCCTGTGAGAACTCAGGAGAGTTGCATGCTCCATCTCAATGAGTGTGCACAGAAGAGGGGAAGCAGCTCTCTGAGACCCAGCTCCAGCAGGGCCTCTAGAGATACAGGACACGCTTCAGCTGATGTAGCAGCATCATGTGATCCCTGGCCTCCTTCTTCCACCCCTCTGTGAGATGAGATAGAGAAAGTCCCATGAGAACAGCTATGCCCCCACCAGGACTGCCTCAGGACATAGGGCCCGTTATGGTCACTGTGGCAGCAGCACATCGAGATCAGGGTGTGGTTGCAGGCCTGACATAGACTGAACTGCCTTGAGACCTGGGGGCCCCGTCCTTCCTTTCTCATGCAAGGTGTGGGGGTTATCATGGAACCCTCCATAGGTTACACCGCGTGAGGACCTTACCTCTAGAGCTGCTCCTGCATACTGCCAGACACCCACTATGGTCTCAATTCAGTAAGGTACTTTACTCACATAGTTACAATCAGATTCATTACTGCTCTGTTACAGTAACATTAAATCTAGTCTAGGAAGGAGCATGGTGGAAAGGGATCTAGGGGTCATAGTGGACCACAAGTTGAATATGAGTCAACAGTGTGATGCTGTTGCAAAAAAAGCAAATATGATTCTAGGTTGTATCAACAGGTGTGTTGTAAGCAAAACTCGTGAAGTCATTCTGCCGCTCTACTCTGCACTAGTTAGGCCTCAGCTGGAGTACTGTGTCCAGTTCTGGGCGCCACATTTCAAGAAAGATGTGGCGAAATTGGAAAGGGTACAGAGAAGAGCGACAAGAATGATTAAAGGCCTAGAGAACATGACCTATGAAGTCAGGCTTCATGAACTGGGCTTGTTTAGTTTGGAAAAAAGAAGATTAAGGGGGGACATGATAGCGGTTTTCAAATATTTAAAAGGGTGTCACAAGGAGGAAGGAGAAAATTTGTTCCTCTTGGTTTCTGAGGACAGGACAAGGAGTAATGGGCTTAAAGTGCAGCAAGGGAGGTTTAGATTGGACATTAGGAAAAAATTCCTAACTGTCAGGGTGGTCAAATATTGGAATAAATTGCCAAGGGAAGTGGTGGAATCTCCCTCTCTGGAGATATTTAAGAACAGGTTAGATAGACATCTGTCAGGGATGGTGTAGACGGAGCTTGATCCTGCCTTGAGGGCGGGGGGCTGGACTCGATGACCTCTCAAGGTCCCTTCCAGTCCTATTATTCTATGATTCTATGAAATATATGTTTTGTGCTCCTAAATTTGTATTCAGATATTTTGTTCACTGCTTTAATTTCTCCTCAACAGGACTAACCTCACCATAGGGGAAGTACTTCTCTAATTTTGGAGAGCAGAACATTATTATATTTGGGGAACATTTCTCATCCATATGATTGTTTGAGTAAACAGTGCACCTAAAATTGGGGGTGGGGGAAGAGGAATCTTTGCAGAGGACATCTTAGAAATTATTTTTAAGAAATGTCACTTATTCACTACCGTAGTCAGATAATATAACGACACAGTTCCCTGGATTCCAACAAATGTAATAGCTATTATAGAAGACCCATGAAACAGAATTTTTAAGTTGGCTGCTGACTTTGATTTCTAAGAAAAAAATGTGGACACATCCTAAATTACTTCTTCTCTGGAATCTGACACTACTTGAAATCTAGATCAATAAAGCAAGTGTACACATTTTCAGAATGTGGAAAAAAAAAGAAAAACAAACAAAACACGAATGACTCTGTTTCTAGTTCCATTCGTTTAGCATGTATTTTTTGACATTCACATTCTTTTAATATGCAAAAAAAAAGAGGAAAAAAAGAAAGAAAAAGATTTTGCTGCTTTTGGAATTGGAGGAACTTTCAGTCAAAATATTTCTATAATGAATAAATATTTTATGTCAATACAATATCACATTTAAATGTGTCAGTCTCATTATTTACAAAATCACACTGTACATTTTAAAAACACCTAAGAGATTCCATTCTGCCCCAAAGAAAACCGTCATTGTTTGTGTAAATAGCATTGAGTGAAAATCAGTTCACATCATCCTACGTCCATCATCAACACATACGTGACTTGCAAAACCTCATTTTTTCCTTTGCCAGCCAACAAATAGAACAATATTGTTCTGTGATGTCCACCAGCAGGTGCACATTCTCAACTCAGCACTAACATTTCAAAAATAATGCTGGAAAATATTTCAGACGTATTTTTAGAAAAATAACACATCTCCATTATGAATGCTCTGCTATCAGGAACATGGGCAACATTGAGAGAGAACTTGAGGAGAGCTTAAAGCCTGCATTGCAAAAGTGCCATCAGTAGCGGGGAACCTAATTAAAGTCTTACAAATTGAACACTTGATATGTAGAGCAATGTAGCAGAAGAATAATGCTTCAGGGTTCAGCGTTTCTTTAAACATGTTATCCATAACTGGACATATGTATATATTATTATTAATTTTAGCCTAAAAATATAGGGAGACGGGAACAATTTCCACTTCAACCTTTCTCTTTTTCCTTCGTCCCACCCCACATTACCTCATTACATTTGCTGCTTCCCTCTAGCCCTCAGATTCCCTGGCATCTTCTCACAATTCATCTCTCCTAAAGGGACACAGTCAACTTAAAAATTAGGCCTGTCAGATTTTTTTACTTGGTTTTGTTACAAGTAAGAATTCAGATGACAGTGTTTCTTCCATCCTCTTTCAAAGACAATTTTCCCAGTTTCTTTAATTTATTAACAGCTGCAAACACTGGCATAGGACCTGTGAGCTGGTATCTGAATTTTTTTTAATTGACTAGATTTCAAAGTTTATTGTATCCTGTCAGTTTAGTTGACTGCTCAGTTACTATAGCACTGTGGGCCTAATACAAACCTAGACAGAGAGTGAAGTAATTGACATTCTGATTAACTGGTAGTGATGTCATCTTTCCCCTCTCAACAACACTTAAGAAATATGTATGCCAGATTCTTCCTTCTTTCTGCCTTCTTATTTGTTTCTACATTCCACTTCCTAATTTCAAGAAGTGAGACAATTATTTCATTTTGTTGGTAGTTAAACTATGCAGTTTGTTTTTTTCTTTAGTTTTTTTTTAAAAAAAACCCCTGAGATGCATAATAATCACTGAGAAATACACTGCCATTCATATTATTTTCTGGTTAAATATGTCTATACTGCGGTTGTCATTAAAACATTGCCATATGCTGACTAGAGCTGAGTAGTATCTAAAGGCTAACTGGTAACCTAATACTTAGACTAAGGGTGCATCTACACTGCAGGGTTTAACTTGAAATAAGCAATGCAAATTGAGATACGTCAATTGTGTATCTTATTTCAAAATAGCTTATTTTGAAATAGGGAGCATCTACACAGCACTTATTTTGAAACAGAGCACTCTTCCTTTGACTTCCCTTACTCCTCGTACAATAAGGGTTACAGGAGTCGGAGTAAGAAGTCCTCCAGTTTGATGGTATTTGACACTATTTCAAAATTAATGCCTGTTGTGTAGATGTGGACTAAGTTATTTCAGAATAGTGCTAGTTGGCAAAAGCTGCCATTTTAATGGGGATCCTACTGTGTACGCTTAAATATTCATGTATACATATACACCTTGTGCCAACTAATAAACCTTGTTTATAAGACTTTCCTGTTGATTTGAGATGGATAAAGGATTGAGTGCATAATGTCTTATGTTGTATTGGTAATTGTTAGAAGGAATACGTTTTCTTTAAAAGAACAAAAACCAAACCTTTAATGATTGTTTTCTGTTCTCAGCCACCACTGGTCCAAGCAATATTCAGCGGTGATCCAGAGGAGATACGGATGTTGATCTACAAAACTGAGGATGTTAATGCTCTGGTAAGTGACTCTGTATATATGTGTGTGTGTGTGTGTACTGTACTTAGGAACTTTCTTGACTTAAGTATGAATTATTCCATTAGTATCAAAAACTGACTACATGTAAAATATTTGGTAACTAGAGATGAACAACTTAAATAGATTCCTAATTATTATATGAAAAAATAATTATCTACATCATGGAGTAGTAATTACCTAAATGTGCCATAATTGCTTTCAGTGTGCAAGTCAGTCAGGAACAGCAAGTTTTCTCCAAATCCCTGTTGTTATGAACTCTAATATCTGAAAGTAGCATATCTCTACAGTGTTTTTCACAAAAAATGAGCCCTTGAGGATCAGGGACTGACCTTCATTCAGGATTTGAATATTATCAATGTCTAAGTTAATTTCACTGCAGCTCTCTCAAAAGCAAGATTATGGAAGCTGCAGCTTGGCCAGTGATATGCTGTCAGGGTTCGGGCTTCCCCTCAGGCTTACAGCTCAGTCATCCTTGGGGTCGCCTACCCCCAAAATCACACCCTCTCCCCCACCTGTGCTCTTTACTTTAAAGTCTCAGGCCGTCCTGCTTCCCGGGTGTTCTCCCCGTTACCCGACGGCTCGGGCGGCCATCATGCTGGCCCCTCAGTGGTGCCGGACGTGATCCGGGGTCTACCTCCCTTCAGGTTCTAGCTCGGGGTCCTCCCTGACCACCAGGACGTTCTCCTCCGGGGCGAGACTCAGCCCGCAGCTCGCCGGTCCACCCATGTCGCCGTGGACTCCTTCCCGGGGCCCTCTCCTCGGCCCCCCTTCCTCTCTCCTCCCCCCGTCACTCCTCCCCTCCGGGCTGGCGTCTCGGCTTTTTGAATTCCCCTCCAGCCCTAGCCCCGCCCCCTTACCTCCGGGGCGCAGGCTGATGACGTCAGCTGGTGTCTCTGCCCAGCCGGCTCTCCCAGCCCAGCTGGTACATGAGTGCGCGATCCCGCTCGGGGTTGGCAGGGGGAAATCCCCTTCCGTGCGGGTGGGATCCTTTTCCGTAGCTCCCGCCCTCCCCTCCCCGGCCCCGCGGGGGGTCGGAGAGTGCGGGGGGCCGAAGCCTCCATTGCGTCGGAGCCCGGTGCCCCGTCACATATGCGTAGAGGAATTATTGCAGGATCGATCAGCCCGTGTCTAGTTTAGACAATGGTAAACAGCTGTAAACAAGTAGAAGTTAAATATTTAATAGAAAAATTTTAATCTGAACCTGCTCTTTTTTTAGGAACTTGTTTGTTTTTTGCCTTACTCTTTCCTTGTTGTATTGAATTACTTCAGAATTGTTAAAATGAGCAGTTTTTGCTGGCATCTTAAGTACAGTCAGTAACCTCTGGAGCTGGTTAGACTGTAGATCTGAGACAGCACAGATATTTGCAGACTGTCAACTGGGTCTTTTAACTTAAACATTCTTTTCCTGTGTCTTTTCCAGACCAAATACTCGCTGTTGTTTTACTCCTAGCTGGTATGAGTGGTTTGTCTGTTTTTTTAACAATATAGGAGGCTTTGGTTTGGGTTGGGACTAGAGCCACCAGGATCCAAATACTTGGTTGAAAAAGGTAGATTTAGAGATTTGTAGCAGCAATCCCCCAGCTTTAGTTAAACAGGACTCCATTCAACTCCTGGTAAGATCAGTTGAAAGACTTGCCATCGACTTAAATGGGAATCAGGCCAGGCTCATACAGAGAAAGGAAAGGAGAGATGGGGTCAAGATGATGACATCTTTCTGTTAAGTATCAGTTTTTGTGTCCTTTCCTGAAATAAGATATTAAAGATGCTAATTGTGAAATATTGTTTCCTTTATATCGCCTCTATTTTTGTTTTGCCCAACGGCAAAAATGGAATTTTGACAATCCTTTAAGGTGGGTAATCAATCTGTTCTTTATACTGCCTATTAGTTTGTTAAAAACAGTTCTTGGTATGCAGATCCAGATGGTTACATGCTTTCAGGTTCTACCCATAAAATGTTTTCATGTCCCCTTCTGTCCAAGGTTGCTGGGGATTGTTGCTATGGAGATGTACTCAATTCCTAGATAAAATGTTATGTAGGGTAGCCTATGTTTTATATATGGATACCATGGCTTTGAATGGAAAAAAAGTAACTGAAGTGAAGATTTTTACTGAGAATTCCATGCAGTATAATGGAAGTCCTTGCAAGATTGTGTTGACCTACCAGTTGGCTTACCTGCATCTAAGAGATGGAACATTCTTTGCAGTAACTACAAAAATATTTTTCAGGATATATTCAGAAATGTAAAGTAATAATTTCAGATCAATATCAAACACTGGAAATGTCATTAAAAATGTGTAGGAGACACCATATCTCCCATCTGCTATAAGCTGGTTAGTCACAGTAGTTGCTTATGTTAATTATCTTCAGTCTGTTTCTAATTCCTTCCATGTTAGCATTTCAGTAATGTGTGGTTACTGCTAGCCGTGTGACAGGAAGATTTGGCACCACTCGTTAATGGTGGTTTTTGAAAGAATTAAAATATAAATACAAATTAAAAATAAGATGTGACTGCTCTCACAGTGAGCTTGAGGTTTTCTAAAGGCATATGTGATGTTTCAGAACCCACGACGGAAAAGCTATTAGCGTGGAAGGACAAAATGAGATATGGGAAACTTGAATATAAATGATACCTAACAACATCAAACTGTCAAAGCAGTGTGAGAGCTGTTCTTATCTAAGAACACAGAATATTAATCTTGGGGAAAAGACTTCAGAGCAAATAATAAATTAGGACAAATTATGAAATAGAAAAATATTTCTTTCTTAACCTGGCAGTGTGTGTTTTAAAAAAATAAATGACTCTGAAGTCTACATGATGCTTCTTTAATTGGGGCTTTTATTTTGTAACGAAGAAAAAATTGTAGCTGTTGGCTTAGAACTGCTTGTTTGTTTTTAATTCATTTTGTCAAGATAGAGGTCAAAGTGACCACTCAGTGTTTCTCGCTGGTCTTCATAGGGAACAAGACACTGCTTTTACATCTTGATGGTAATGATACTTTTTGTCTAGTGGGCAGTAGTTGGTTCCTGACACTATATGTTTGACTGTTATTTTTTGCAGAGGTAGGTTTGCAGGCAATTTTCAGTGGCATACAGTCCAAGGAACAGGGATTTTCATTGGAATACCAGTGTCTTAGTTTTATAGACCAACATATATGTTGCATTATGAAACTACTGAGCTAGCTACAGACAGGTATTTTTAACATTTAAAATACCCTGTATGGGGAAGTCTACCGTCAGGGCCATTTTAATGGAGGTAAATCACTGTTTAGGGTTTCAAATTCATATGAGATTCCAGCCCACCAAACGGAAGAACAGGTCAAAACTTGTATTCACATGCATAGCCACACAAAAAGAGTAGCAGATATCTGCATTCAAGTCTGCAGATTTTCAGGGCTCTACAAATATTGTACCAGCTGATTTTTGGTGCAAGGATTTTTGAGGTTGACAATGAGAGTTTTATGTGTCCATATTCACCTATTCCTAGGTTAGGAAGTTGCACTTTGGCCCCATTTCTTGGCTTCCTGATCAATCAAGGTGATGGGGAGAAGGAGAATTTATCAACAGAGGTTACAGGGCCCCTCAAACAGGAGTGTAAGTTTGGGAATTATTTACCACAAACCTGAGCGTGTTAAAGATAGGTAGGGATGTCACTATGGGTGAGTCTTTACATGTTGGTTTCACTTAACTGATGTGAAGGTGCAACTTCATATTTTTGTGTGATATGTCCAAAATAAGTTTAGGATTCTTGGGGCAAACCCTTGGAAAAATAATTTTCAACTGGTGTTGTAAGATGAGGTGGGGGGATTGGACTGAACTTTGACACTGTTCACCATGTTGTCCAGTTGTAATTTTCCCCTTCTTCCTTGGTGGGGTTGCCTATAGCCTGGAGGTTTTATTGAGTGTCACCTGCGTTATACAGATCTGTATAGAGGATGTTCCAAAGTCATACCGATAAAACCTTTTGTAACCTGTAGCCACCATCTTACTTATTTTTTCTCACTAACCGATAAGACTGCTACACACATTTGTATCATTATTCTAATGAAGTGGGGGCACGGAGGGCTCAACCAAGTCTTCACAAGAAAACAAATGTTAACATACCTTTAGATTTTGCCATACATTCTGGAGCAGAGAACAACAGATGATATTCAGTGTTACTCCACAAGCCTTCAGAATAATAATATGCAGAACAACTTTTCATTTAATTCTGAGTAAAATCCCTAATTTGGGATTAAGAAAGTGATATGATGTTTTATCAATTTTGGGAACCAGACCATGCCTTTTAGAGAATTAGAATTTTATTCTTGATACTATTGAACCTCACTGGCAAATAAAATTGTGCTAGAAATAAATATGGCATTTCTTAGAGGTAGTTGTGTCTCAGCAGAAAGCTTTTTATGCTTGCCCTCCCAGGGAGGGGAACAGGGTATGGCAATGTGCCAGTTTTCACTGAAGTCATTCTCAGAGCTCTAGGGAAGCTTCTTTGAAAACTTTTCCCTTGACACAGTGTGGCCGTTTGGCCTTAGGTTCTAATAGCTTCTGTGCATTTAAATGTGTCGTCCTCTTCTAGCCACAATTAAATGTTCTATTTATTTAAGCTCCTAAACCCCCTTTGCTGGGATATTTGTTATAGTTAATCTATCAAGGGATTTATTAATAACTTGGGTTGGGATTTTCAAACCCGCATAAGGGAAGTAGTTGTGCCTCAAATCAAACTGACTTTTGGACCAGCTTCCGTTTGTGGGAGAGACGAAGCCTTCAAGCTACACAGAACTGCTCTTCAGTTCTTGAAGAACCTTGCATACCCCTCTGCTGTTCTCCAATTTCAGCTTTCATTTAAAATTTAATAAAGTCTCTACCAGTCATTTTATGAAGATTTACACATGTGTGTCCTGAAGTGGAGGGGTTGACGCTGGAAGGGTGGGGAACAAATTAAGATGTGTAGGCCCTAGTTACATATGGCAGTGTGCAGTGGTCTCAC